TGTGGTCATTTTGCAAGAAGTTTACTCGAAGGGGAGACTTCACAACTGTAGAACACTTGCCAATTGATGAGCAGACAATGGTTTCTGACGAAGGCAAAGCAACCGCTTTGGCATCAGTTTTCTTCCCATCTTTACGACCGGCTATGTTGCAAATTCAGCAAAACATCGACTTTGCGTGGAGCACCCACATACTTCCAGGCAACCAATCATCAGTGGCAGTGACGGTGGATGAAGTAAAGAAGGTAATCAAGTCCATGAAACGCAAGGCAGCCCCTGGATTGGACTTCATCATTGTGGAGGTGTTTCGACAAACCCTGCGCTTTCTTGCTCCATGGCTGGCGCAAATCTACCCAGCTTCCTTATCTCTTCAGTACTTTCCCAGAGCTTGGAGGATGGCCAAGGTCATTCCACTCAAAAAACCTGGCAAATCAGCGTACAAAAATCCTCGCAACTATCGACCAGTCAGTCTACTTTCTCACATGGGAAAAGGGCTGGAGCGAATCGTCAATCAGAGACTGATGAGAATGCTTGAGAGCCGAAGTTTGCTTTCAGCGCACCAATCTGGATTTCGGAAATGGGGGCAGACTCTTACAACTTGCATGTGCTGGGTAAATGATATATATTCAGCATTTAGGGCGGGCAATCAGGTACAGCTAATCACATTGGACCTACAAACTGCGTACGACACCGTTTGGCATGCGGGCCTACTGTGCAAATTAGAAACCATGAGAATTGACCATTACATAGTGGGCTGGGTCCAATCCTCTCTGAGTGAAAGGGTCGCATGTCTTGAAGTGGGGGATCACATATAGGAACTTTGTACCCAATGTAGTGTGCCTCAGGGGTCACCACTTTCATGTACACTATTCTTGGTTTATGTAAACGATTTATTATGCAGCCTCAACACTTTGAGACGCCTTGGTGCTCAGGGATTTGCTCACGATTTGGCTCTATGGAAATGTGGTGATTTCTGCTCTAGATCAATTCACCCCACACTCAGGCATGCCTTGTGGAGAGCGGAAAAATGGTCTACTATGTGGTGGATGGTATTCAACCCCAAGAAATGCGAGTGCATGAACTTTAGTGCGAAAAACATTGTGGTAGATCACAAGTTGGCTGCTTTTTTGTATGGAGTGAAGCTGCCTTACACCCATGAACTCCGGTATCTTGGGATTTGGTTTGATACGCACATGACCTGGCATCGCCATGTCCATGAGGCTTTGACTAAGGCACGGGCACAATTTTGGGCTCTGACAAAAGGCATTGGGATGGCATGGGGTCTGCACCCATGGTTATTTCTGCAATTCGTGCAGGGAGCTGTCCTCCCATCTTTATTTTATGGAGATCCCATTTGGGCAGCAGTTTTGGGCGTGGAGTGTCGTTTGGACGATATTGATGGAACTCTGGCACACGCGTCTAGATTGGCCTTAAGTTTGGAACGGTTCATGTCCCCCGAAGCTTGTCTTGCACTGGCTAGCATCGGTCCAGCCAACTTGCACATCATGAGTACTCTTGTGAGATATTTGTACAGGAATCACAGAGTTGCGCCGAGCACTCCGCCTTCCACTGTCCACCGATCTTATGTCACTCCGGAGGAGATGGGAGGCGCTTGGTTTCGACGCATTTTTCTGAGTCGCCGTTCGGTGGACATCACAATGACACAGCAGTGTCAAGTCATGCGTCGCATCGATGAAGGTTTGATCGACGAGCGGAAATGACGATAGCATGCCGCCGACACTGGACGTTCGTTGCACCCACTCTTTCCGGACACAGGACAGCCATGGAGTCCTGACGATGCTACCCTTTGTCATCGATCAGATATGGTCTGGGTGGGTCGTTTCATGACTAGGCACTGCCACTTTGGAAACTTCAGAATTCTGCAAGATAATGATGAGATGGTGGAATGCACATTGTGTGGGCAAGTCTGTAATCGTGCACATTTTCTTTCTGAATGCGATCGAGTGGAGGACTTGCGCTTGCAATGGCTGAACTCAGAAGGTATTGATACAGAAAATTTGCACGAATTGGTTTGGAAACACTGCGCGAGACTTGGAGCTTTTCTACGAGCAGTGGGTGATAGAATTCGCTTCATTGAGGCCAGCGAGGTCCTCTGTGAATAACGTGCCCTTCTTTCCCTTGGCATGCAATTGATTTTCTTTTGTTTTGTGTGGGGAAGCTTTGGGAATCGAAGTCAGCTGCGACCGCCATTAGAGGCGTGTTTTGCAATATGAGTGGGCCTGGACGTGCCCGTCATACACTGGATGGTACGCTACAGTGATCGATGCCGTGATGTCATGTCGATGCATCCATGTAAGGAAGAAAGAAACAAACAAGCAAACCACTCTGCCGCCCCTCCCTCCCCAGGGGGGTGAGGACGATGCCCACGGTCAGAAGGGCGGACGTGGACTGCCTCACGGGACCCCAGGTGGATGCGGTGCTCTTCTTGAAGGGCCTCCCCTGTGGCCATCGCGAAGGCGGAGTGCTTGCTCGTCGCGAGATTGTGTGGACAACTTTGGCGGCGGGTGGCGATGCCAACGCGGATCGAGTGGCCGTTAGTGATGCTCTCTGGAATGCGGCCAAGAGCGTACAACATGGCTGGCGTGCTGCCGACCTCGCGCTCTTCACAAAACGACCGAGCATAGCCGCGCTTGGAGCAGGAGAGGCGACCAATTTGGCAGCATCGCCAAAGCGAGGGAACTTTTCAACGTCGGCTGCTGCTCGATCGCCGGTCGACGAACAAAACCCGGTCGATGACGAGGAAATGGAGGATTGGCATGAGGTGCGGCGCCAATGTTCTCAACGCAAGAAGCCTGACCAGCCCCCCTCGGCAAATCGAACGCCCTCACCGCCCCATGCGCCCCATGGCTCAGTTGCCCCAAGATCGTCACGCCAGAATCGTCCACCATCATGCGCAATAGTCACCAATCAGGACGACGAAGCACGCGGACAAGCCTTGCTTCAACAGCTCAGGGGCGATCTTCGCCGTCTTGCTCCAGCGCTTGAGCAGTCAGTGGGTGCCCTAGCCGCGATTCAACGAGCCATTCAAGAAGACGCGCAGCTCGGACAGGATTCGGTGACTTCTGCACATGCCACCAAAGTTGACAACGCGCTGGGCCTGATGAAGGCCGTCCTGGCTGGTATGTCAGCAGAGAACCTCAAGACAGCCATCACCCAGGTCGAATCTCAGCTAGAGGTGGCCACCCGGATCCGTTAATAGCGGACAGAGGTTAATTTCCGTTAATTTTCCGTTAATTAATGGAAAATAACGAAAAAAGACAAAAATTATCCAAAAATTAGCGGATTTTTGGATTTTTTGGGGATTTTTGGGGTTTTTTTTATACTTATAGTTTATGGAATTCGCTATTAGAGAGTATGTTTGTATTTTATTTCAATCTATGCATACTAGATTTTCAACTAGCCGCAGTTGTTGTGATTTTTTGGGGGTTTTTCCATTTTTTTGGATTTTTTTTGTTTTTTCTGAAATTTTCTCCCTTTTTCTTTAACGAAATTTAACGGACAGCTGATAAAAATTAACGAATCGGATTTAACGGACCGGATGGCACCCTTGAGTGGCCACCTCTAATCTCAGCCAACGCAACCATCATTTTCACGATTGACCCAGAATTCCATGCGCACCTCCATGCCCCGCAGCTGGCGTGACATAGCTGCGAATGCACCACCGCCACGCCCCCAGCGACCTCGCATTCCATGGGCCGACGATCGCACTCTGATTCTGCACCCAATCGATTAGAAGACTGCCACTCAATCCTTTTCGGATTTCATGTTCGGCGAGGACCTCCAAGGCCTCTTCCCTGACAGCAACACTGAACGACAATTCATCGTGGAACGGATTGCACGTCTGCCTACTGGGGCCATCAAGCTTTAGTTATCCGCTGACTCTGCGCGGCTGCTACGCAGTCAGGGCACCGAGCCCTTCCCTGTCAGTCCTTTCGGCGATCGGACATTGGCCACTACCGCTTCAAGGACCAGCAACTCCCTTGTCGTGACGGGTGTGCCCCCTGCATCTCGACGATGCAGACGTGACCAGCGCCATCATTGATGGCACAGCCAAAGCACTGCCGGAGGCGGCCCAGCCCCACCTACATGCTCTTCGTGTACAGAGGATGCAAATGAGGGTGCGCGATGACTCTTCAAGAGGCGACCAAGGTATGTCGGATGCCCCATCCAAGAAAGAACGACAGACGCCAAATCTACGACCATAACGGTGCTGTCGCATCTTTGCATCCTACGATCTGATCACACTTCTGCTCGAGCACGGCTACATCAATCTGCGATAGTCCATGTACGCCGTCTAACCATACAACCCTCCCACGTTCTGGTGCGCTACATGTGGTCGACGCGGCTCGCACTTGACCAAGTTCCACCGGCATTCCTTCCCCTCCCATGATGGATAGACGCCTCACGATTGGGCAGATCAATGCGCGACACTTGCCGTCAGCGATGGAATTGCTTGGCATCATTGTGATGGAAAGGATAATCGACATTTTCCTCATTCAAGATTCCCCTCTCATTTTGGTGCGCCGGGAATGGACACCGGGAAGCTACAGAGTTTTCTTGGCGACGGGTGATGAGCCTTTGACAACCATCATGGTGAAATCATGTTTGAGTTCTTCAGCAATCGACATCACTGGAGCCCGAATATGTGGCTGCATCATCAAAACAAGTGTGGGGTGCCATCTGCTGGAAACATGAGAGAGCGCTCGCACCAGGGCGAAGCTCAGCTAAGGCGTGGTGTTTGTCACCCATCTTTTGTTGGTCCGTCTGATGTACATCCACGCCAATTAGGGCAACTGCACTCATTAGACTTCCACCTCTTGTCGTTGTCTGCCTATCACTATATCTCCCAATTCATGCACCTCTTGATGCTATGGGGCGCATTGGGATATGTGGTCAGCCACTGGCGCCCAGTAGATTCATTCTTTAAGTCTATTACGAAGTTCCAGTGGATTTTGCTCAACAATGTCGCACATTTAATTTCCCTATTTCTTCCGCTCTTGTCGCCACTTGTACACAATCCTCCCACTGTCGTCTTTGAACTTTCTTGCGCTTCCATCCGCCTGCTTAGAAAACAGCATCAGTGAATCAGATCCATGAAAGGACACAATGTGCCTGAAACTGTTAACAGTGTGTGTACCACCACTGGATTGTAGTCAAAGACAGACCTTGATCAGCGCCATGGAATCTGCAGGAGGGCTGGAACTTGAAGCGGTGGGGCCTAAGGGAAAAAAAGCTCACTTGCCCATAAGCATGCACTGATGTACCTGAACCCAGGTACTAACCAGGTGAGGTTGGTCCATGGGCAGCACGGCACAGTATGTACCTGGGAATCAGGATAATGCCTGAAACGGGGTCTAGGGGTGATGTGCCCACCCAGCAACCCTCCTCTCTGAGAAATTCAGCTTCCTGGCTACAATCTTCGAAGCCAGGTACCATTAACAGTCATTACCACACACTACACGAAGAGCATTTGTCTTATTGTACAGGCCATGTGGGTCGTCGTGCTGATCACAGCGATTGTTTAAAGTGGTGACTGCCCACATCCTGAAGTGCTCTAGCCTCTACTTGCTTGGAAATGGACCCACCGCCAGCTGTTTGTTCAGCGTCATCTTGGCTGCGAGTTTCTTCAACTTCTCATGCCTCTCGATGTGTTTCTTCAGGAGCCTGTACTTGGACACCCGACTCCTGCACATATAGTATTGCACAAGACGTTTGTTCAGCCACACACTCCATCCTACTGCGGGGATATAACAATACACAATGCAAAAACTTCACATCCACACAAGCAATTGCGATCCGTGGTGCATTCATGACCAGTCCGTGCATCCAACTAGTGCTGCCGCCATATGTGTCTCAACTAGTTGCCCAACACACTTCTCAGACTCCTTGACAACTTCTTCTGCCTCTCTGCCACCCTGCACAGCAGCGGTGCTCTTCAGCTGTGACCTTCGCGGCCTGTTGAATCGTCTATCCAGCAGATCTGACGGTGTGTCGAAGTACTCCTCAGGCGAAAAACGCCTCGCTGCCTCCTCATCATCCACAAAGACTGTGTGGCGGTTCTTCGCTGGCACACCTAGAAAATGCAACTGGGACTGCAGTTTCTCGACTACCTTCAAGGAACAGTGCACATGGTGGTCAGGCCAGGCCTGCTGGAGGTTGGATATTGCAGGATCGCAGGAGGGTTGGGGTATGCTACAGACATCTCCAAGAGTCGCCCAAAGCCCGGCCAACCCATACAGCCCACAGCCACTGTTTGCCACAAGTAGCCATTCGTGGAGCCTATGGACAGTGAACACTCAGAAACGTCTGTCACAGAACAGGGCTTTGCCAGCCCAATATCTTCTTTGCTCACATCGTATAGAAGTCAATCAAACTTATGGCCATTAACGTGCATCTGCTGCCGGGCAAAAATTCCAGTGCTTCGTCCTAGTACATTTGCATATTCAGCTTTTCCTCTCAAACTACATGCTGCTGCCAATGCTGCCATTCAACCAGCAACAACCTACAATCCAACCAAAATGCTGCTCATGCAAGCTGCCATGGAGCGAGAGTTTTTGACACATGGATGAAGAACTACAGTTGCTTTTGGCAGAACACCACATGTAGTTTCGTCACCTTGGCCTCCCTCTGCACCATAGCGTTTACATATCCAGATGTCTGCATCAACTCCAAGAGCTGCTCCTCCTTAGGGTTGTCTTCATCTTCAGACCTGTGGGCAAAGCACTGCCAAGAACAATCAACATTCCTGGACACGTCTTGTGTGGTTGGCAAAAAGCAGTATGAGCTCAGTGCCTTGAACTTAAGGTACTCATGGCTCAAATATGGATATGCCCTTGCTAAAGACAATGAGTGTCCATTTCTCCTCCACAATGATGCATGGCCAATCTTTTGAAGTACGCAGCTTTCCAACAGAATATGGCACAAGCCAATTGCGCAAAGCCGACAAATAAAGTTGTCAATTATTCCATTCCATAATTCTGCTGTGACCCTGTGTTGGGGGTCCATGTCTCCAGAGGAGGCTAGGGTTTAGAGCGAAAGGTAATCGAGATGTGCCCATAAGCCCCAAATAGCATGGAGCTCAGAGGACCACCCTCAGAATTTCAGGCTTCTGTTAAACCTGTGAAAGTTGTCCAGTTAACACAAGAGAATAATATATCAATAACAGCATTGATGCCCCTTTCTGAACAACAGCCGAATTCTCAAGTTACAAAGGAGACCGCTAGACATGCACTGTGCAAATTGTCATAGGACACAATGCAGCCAATGCCTTAACTACCCATTAATCGTATCCCAGAGACGAGAATCCCCCAAAGGAGCAATGCAAGGCAGTGGATACTCACACTGGGTCACAGATATCTACAAGGTTTGGACCATTGATCCAAGGAGCAGGTGGCTGAAATTTAAAGTGAAGGTGACGAACAGAACAAAAAGTCCTAAAAACGAAGAACAATTCGCAAATAACAAACTCAGCAAGACAAGTCCAAAAGCCACAAAATTCATAACATTATACATCCGCAGTGTCCTTGACAGCACTAATGTCAACATTAAAGGCCCGTTAAGCAGCTCTGACCTGCCTTCTATGGCTCTACACCTGAAAAGCCCTCTTCCCCAACGATCAGAATAGAAGGGAAGCCAAGATGCATGCTAGCAAGAACTATGAGCAAGCAATCAAGCGCTCGCTGAGCCACAGGGCCAGTAGTTTAAGCTGGATACTGATGCAGGGTCATGAATACTATTATGGTTTGTACCCACAAAGAGATGGACGCTCGTACAGGGTGGACACTGATACTGGGATACTATGTTCCATATGCTTGCCAAGGTTTGCAGTGCTGTCAACAAACAAGCTCTAACTAAGGGACATTTTTGCCCAGTAGCCCACCTCACTACAGCACCATCTTTTGTTCTCTGATGCTCCATTGCAAAATAGAATTCATCAGGATTGCGATCTGCAGCCTTCCTTTGCAGGACCTGTATTCAACCAAGCACAATCTCAGTGCCAAGGCATGAGCACTGTGTAACATGGTCCACAAGCCGCCATCTAGAGGCCCTTGAATTTATGTGGTCAGTGACAAGAAATGGCTTGAATCTCTACAAACGTACACATTGCATGCATGTTCACTAACAGGATTGTAGGAATCTAGGGCACTGTCAGGAACAAATAAGACAGGCGTTGCACTACTAGCCATCACCACAATTGCATTTTCCTGGCTTTGAGCATCCTTCAGAGGGGGGTCAAAGTGGCAGAACCTGAACAAACATTTTGGCAGTATCTGCAGCTGTTATCATCAAATTCAGTGCAAGTGCCTTGCCTTGTCACATGCTGCAACTCTAGCGACAGGGGCTCCACCTCAATCAGTTGTGAGCTGTTATGTCAACAACATGAACTGTCGTTCACGCAGTTCACAAGGCCACGTCATTTATGATAGAGCCCTGCTACATATACTCCAGGTACTCCACACAAGTGTCTGATTTTGCTAACACAGATCGATCAAGGCTAAGAAGACGTGTTATCCCACACAATCCGAGGACTGACCTCAATAGCTTCACGCTGCCGTTGGTACCTCCGTGCACGTTCAACATAGTCTTTGTGCTTTTCAAGAAGGCCATACTTCTTTCGAGAATCTCTGCGGTTGCAAACAGAAAGCTTATACAGGACTGACCTGAGGATCCTGAAGCCCAAACTGAGAAGATGATGCTCACACCACCAAATGCCCGTCCTGTTGCCCACAGCCCAATGGGCATTCTCTCGAACTGCTCTCCACACGAGCATCCAGCACCCTGCCGGTCACTCAGCTTGTGCTTCCTCGCACTGCCCAGTTTCGCATTACAGCACAGCGCTGGTTTCCATTTTGACAGCACAGCGACCAGACTGCCAACTGCCCGACGTGTTTTGATCCCGCACGTCCAACTGAACAATTCCAACTTTACTTCCTTCGTGGTGAGCGCAATTACGATGCCAAACCCCAATGCAGCCGGTGGCACACAAAGGGCAACGATGAGCTCGACCGAGGCCAAAGAGCCTGTCACACCATCAAGCTCCCATATGCTCGGGAAACCGCTCTTGGGGGACCCCAGCGACGCCTCCTATCGCCTTCCGTTTGGTCGTCTGCTTGGCAATCAGACGCGCTGCATTGCTGGGCTTGAGAGGAAGTGCGCACAGGCGCAAGCTACCCTGGCGGCAGCTGCTGCAAGCTGCAAAGCGCCGACGGCGCAGCAACTCACCAGCGTCATTCTCAAGGTGTTTTCGCGTCGGTGCACGGCGGACCAGAGCCCGAATCTCTGCCAACGCTTGTCGCTGCACGTCCGCGACGCGCGCCACTTACGGTTGCGCCCGCTCCTTGTGTATCCGGCCCTTCAAAAACTTCTTCAGAGAGGACGACGACATGGCTCTGAGTGGTGCTTCGCCCACCGTCCCTGACCCAGCGATGTGCACAAGTGGAAAGGCATACGTTAAATCCGACCCGACCTTTAGCATTTAAATTGGCGGCGCCAGCATAATGGCCAGGTACGGTGGGGGTGAGTACGGTCGCTGGCCAGGTGCACCCGCAAACGATCAAGTCGTTGGTGCCCAACGTCGAGCGGCCAGCTCCGGGAGTTCCCGGTGGGGCGAGGACTACCGCTTCACGTCCCGTCCCCAGAAACGGGTCCCGAGAGCCCTCCGCTGACATGCTGCATGGCGCAAGATCGCCGCCAACAGGCCGCCGACAAGACGCCGGCTAGACAAACTGCCGAAGGGCCATGCGCTGAGGCCGGGCATCGTGACAGTGTGCACTGTGCAGGCGCCCCTGCATAATGGGCGTGGTGGCCGCTGGCTCGACGGGCGCCAGAGGCGTTGCAACAGTCGCGGTGCCTCTGGGGGCCACTGAGCGAGCTTGCCCCACATTGAGATCTCCTGTAGGGCATAAGGACCGAGTAGCGGGGCAAGGCCCCACAGGGTGCTCCCCGCATCCGCACCTGGGTTGAGAACAGAGGGCAAAAGCCAAGGCGTGGGCAGAAGCCAAGGCGAGGGTGTCGGCAGGTGGGGAGGGAGTTTGCATTAGGCGCCTGAAGCTGCGTACCCATGGGGAAGGCGCGACCTGGTGGGGCGCCACTGCGCGGTGAAAGGAAAATGCACGTCGCTGGTGCGCACGAGGTGGGGGCCACTGGGAAAGACGAGGGGGAAACCAGGATCCCAAGGCCACAGAGCCAGGCGGGGCGCGGAAATTTTAAAAACTGCATGGCGGCAAAGCCACAGGATGCGATTTCTGGCACAGAAACGGCAGCACAATGTAAGGTGTGGTCTCCTTCGAGGTTGCTCTCTGCGATGCCGGTACTGCTTTAGCCCCGCGCGCTGGCCCTGGGTTTGGCTCGGCGAAGATAGCGTCCACAATCGCCAGGCGGCACCCGATCGACCCCGGTTTCTAATCGGGGTGGCCGCAGCCCATCGGCTGCCTATGCTCCCCGCCGATCCAAACCCCACCCCACATGGCGATCTTCGGCCCCACACGCGGCGAACAATAGCTTGTGGGGCTGCCGATCGGCAGGCGGTGGTCTTCGCTCCACCAGGAACTCCCCCAGCTGGCCGCTCAACGTTGGGCGCCCAACGACTCGGGCGTTTGCGCGTGCGCGTGGCTGGGCGACCGTACTCGCCCCCACCGTACCTGGCCATTATGCTAGCGCCGCCAATGTAAATGCTAACGGTCGGGTCGGATTTAACGTATGCCGGAAAGGTTAAATAAAGTGTTAAATACAAGATATAAGTGAAAAAGTGTTGCCTTCTGTGGAGGAGTTGAGTGCAGTGCTGGGTGTCCAGATACCCCTGTAGCTGGGTGCTGTTGAGCAAAGTGATTCCACTATTGCTGTTAATCAGCGGACATGGAACACAAACATTTGAAAGTTCTTTGTATATGTCTTGTGCTGGCTTTGCAAATGAACCCAAGTGGATCCCATGACTTCTTGCCCTGCTTGGTTATGCCGTTTTCGCAGTTGCAGCGACTTCCACCTTACTGACTGGCCATGTCGTTTCTGCCTTAATTCAGTGTGGTTTTGGTTTGCAGCACGTGCAGCAACTACTCACCCTTGTGCTGTGCAACGTGACAGGGCTTTGAAATTTGGTGGAGAGACGATGATGGTGCGTATGCTGAAAGCAATGGACAACGTGGTGACTGTGGAGTCTCCTGTGAACCCATTTGTGTGCATAGCGCTGCGGGCGTCCCCATTGGTGGTACACAACGCCAGCCTCATCAAGCAGACAGTGGAAGGCTTGAAACAAAAGGCAGGTGCAATGGTAGGAGCTTTCGTAGCAACAGGCAATTCAGCTGGTTGAACCAAATTTTGTGATTGGGAATGCGTCACACCACTAGGCCCCTGTGGTGAGCGCTTAGAAAGAGCGGGTCATTGGCAATCACGCAATGGTCTGGAATGAGAGGAGACAATGTTGCACCCCACTCCGCCCCTGTGTGTTTTGAAACCCACTGTGCCTCCTTGAAAGAAAGCAACGTGGGTGAACGGTTTTGCAGATTGAATCGTACTTGGGCTGTGTTCCAGCTGTGAAGTCGTTTCCTGTAGTGCTGCAGATGGCCATATGTCCAAGCCAGTTAGTGCGTAACAGCAGAGCCACCTCATGTTGTTCGACATCCGAAATAGCGCATTTCAACGCGCATTCCATTCCCATGTCATGTCATGTCAGCATGCATGTACCCACACATGCTCTGCTTGCACAGAGAGGTCCACTAGCAAGGGTCCTCCCTGGGGTGGATCACACTCCACAGGAAAGGCCCTCGTTCGTTGTGCTCACTCATTTGTCCCAAAACGAAGGATGCTGTCCTGTCACAGGCAAGGTGGTGTGTGGCCAATTGTGCCATTGCAAGGTCCAGATTTCCTTCAGCAACAAATTGGTCACCACCCCGCACCTAGCAGGAATATGTGTATAGACGTGCACGCAGTCCCCTTGAGCTCGTGTCACACGCGCTTTGATTAAATTTGTGTTTCCGACTTTATACTGTCCTCGAAGTTCCTAAGTATCATATTGCAGTCTGGAAGAAGGGATTTGGAAGGCAGTGCACGAAGCACTGTCTGCTTACCTACATCTTTCCAGAGTTCGTTAGCCATCCCAGCTATACGCGAACCAGAAGAGGTCATGTACCACGGCGGAAGATGACGGAAAGGATGGCTTGTTTTCATCTCTTCGCCGGTTGAAAGTGTTGTGTGACATATACAACATCAGCGCGGCATGCTGTATGCCACAGAGTCTTAGGCACATTTGTTCAAGAGCACGCACCCCATCATTGCTCACGTCCCGGTTTCATTATTGGCTGCACGCATTGGAACTACTGTCAGCTGTATTGTTGTTGTGCATCTGTATGTTTGTATCTTCTTTATGTGAGCGCCATGGCCTGCAACAGAAATGAAACCGGACGGGCCCTGGGCTGGGTGAAGGCGGCCTGGATGTTAGAAGCCTACAGACATTGCTGGGCCGGCCCGAGAGGTCGTCTTCTCGCGCCTGGTGACGACCTTGAAGTCCCTGTGCACAGTGGGAGGCCGTCGGGTGTTGCCAGCTCGAGAACAAACGGCCAAAATCCTAAGGGAGTTGAGGTGGGTCGCCCTGGAAGTATTGCTAGTTCTAAGCAGTTCGCTGAATAAATGGTGTAGATGCAGGCTGCTGTTACCCGCACTGGCTGCAAGCACGGTCGGTTAAATATGCAGGCTGTTTGGGATTGTGTCCCCCAGATTCGACGGACCTTGCCTGTGCTAGAGTATTACTGTTCCTGGTTTGTTTCTCGTGTAGTTGTGTCCCCCGCTTTCGTTTGCATTGTGTGTGTGCCGCAACAACCCTTGTAATTGGTGCTATTGATACCAGTGTGACGCCCTCTGGCTCAGAATGTTTACATGGTACGTCATGATCACAGCATTCTGCACCAGGCTTTCCCCTCGCCATGCGGAAAATGACTCGTTCGCTGTGTGAGTGCCAACTGCAGAGGGAAGCCAGCTGTGGATCATATTGAGCAAAAGATCAAGATGCAGAAGGACAAAGGGGTGAAAGTCGAAAATTTGGCGTTGTCCATTCTCACGATGGACGAGTGGGGGTGGATCCAATCAACGGATCTTCAATTTTGGGTGGTAAAAATGTTTCTTAGGGGTGAAAATTTCGTTTTAAAGGGGGTCTCCAAGTCGTTGCGACGGAGAGCGCCTCCACTTGCTCCATTCTAGTCATACTATATGTGTATGACTGCTGCTGACCATGCTTTTCTTCACCAAATAACGAGATATCCTTCAGGACACACTTCAGGCCCCAACTTGCAACAAGGAAGCCTTGCATCTGGAAATGCCTTGCGACAAGGAGAGGTGGCATGGTCCAATTGCAGGGCAACAACAAGCACACCAATACACATTCTCGCGGCTGAGTACTCACTGCTCTCCCCCCACACATCTGCGGACCAGCGTCGGGGCTTGGGCGCTCGGTGACGCACCAAAACGCCTTCTTGGACAGGCAGCTGTGCTGGCTGTAACCAAGCAAGTCCCTCGACCAAAAAAAACTTACACTCTCGATGGCAGGTATGGAAAAGTTGCAATGCGCCTGGGCGCACACATTGGGGCCCCGCCACTTTATGACCACATCGTCAAATACCCGAATTCACAATCGCCAGGCGCCATCCTTGGGACCACATTGGCACCTCAAAATAACGTCAGTCAAGTTGGGAACCAAAGAACGATTGTCACATGCTCCATCAGCTCGAACACGACCTGTAACATCACATGACTCTTCCTGTAGCACAGGAAAAATCCAGGACAGACAAACACACGTACCCCTGATATGCCGCTTACTTGAAAAGAATATGTCCTGTTCCTGTGCCGGTTCCTAATTCTACAGTGGGCGCGCACTAATCCCACCCTGCCCGTCCAGCATCACTTGCAAACCCCTTCAAAAATGCCTAACCACCCAAATCATGCTCCATGCAGAGATGTGGGCCTTGTGTATTTCAGATCAAAAAAGAACTCCGGGATCCTAAAAATATAGTACAGGGCACTTTGGAACACCTAGCGATCTACGATACCTGACGTCGAGCCTGAGGTTTGGAAAGGAACACCGTGGTGCCGTGCCCCTGCTGCTCCTTGATGATCCCTTCGAAACCCAGCATGCTGAACACAATCCCCCAACGCAACTGTGCCTTGGCAAACCAAAAGCACCCCTCAGCCCTATGCCATCCATCCCCTTTCCTAATCCCAAAGTGGCACCCACTGCAGCCCGCATGACAGGAAGAGTTGCGATCGACCTGAACAGCAGCTATGAAATAGGCTCTTCATCTTCAAATTCAAACCCTGCCCAACATGGCCATCCATCCCCCGCACCCCACTCTCTGGACACCAGGCATACCCAAACTGCAGCCAACAGCACGAAGATGCATCACTGATTTACACCAGATCAAAAAATTTCTGCCACATGCTACCTAAGATCCTGCCTAACTACCTCTGCCCGCATGCTCAAGTTCTTTTTGCTCATTTCCCACAGCTGTCAGAAAACCAAGAACACACCGCAGTGCGCCCCCTTCACCTGTGACTTGGGGCTGCAGAGAAACGTGGGGATCTGCAACGCCCATCCCGTGTGGGTCACCAAGCCCAGGGGACCCTCTTGCAGACGAGAGGGACAGAAGTTTAACCCAATAGCAAGTCTGTGGTCAAAAACGGCCTCCACCCCTCACCAGCAGCAGCCAACTCCCATTCGATGCCCCTTTCTGTCCAGGCCTCGGTTTCACCGAACGGCTGCACGGAGCTGAACGTCCAAATCCAATTCAAGTGCTTCCCAGCCTCCAGCAGTCTGCTCACATCAACAAAGAAGCATCCCCCCACCCCCATCCCAAACCCGCCCTCCCTGCCCCTCCCCATTCTTTGAATCTAAGTACCCTGCAATCACCAGCCGGGCGTCTTCACCACGCCCCGGCTCGTGAGATCGCAACATCGTCATCTTCAAATGCGGCAACTCGACGCCCGCCAACACACCCTCCCCGTGTCCAAGCCCCACGGCCCTCGCCCCTCCTCCCGCCCACTCCGCACAGCCCTCCTCATCCCCCCAGCGGGCTACCCTATCTTCAAATGATGCCCACGTGCCGAGGCCACTCCGGCTCTCTCTCTCTCCACCGTCCCAGGCCCATCACAGCCTGTCCAGCTTGGAGCCCAGGACGACGGGGTTGTCCTCGGCGATCTTGCGCCTCTCGGCCCCCTTGTGGTCGAACCCGCAATCGTGCGCCTCTGCGTAGCGGTGCTCGCCGCAGAACACCCTCCCACACTTGCACGCGAAGCCCGTCAGGCCCACGCGCCGGCGGCACACCGGGCACCTGACCTTCACGGGCTTCGAGTGCGGCCGCTCGGGGGGCTCCTGCACGCCGGCCGCCGCCGCGGGATCGCTGGGCCCCTGGACGGCTGGCGGGACGGCTGGCGGAACGGCTGGCTCCGCAAGCCTCGGCTTCCGCGACGCGGGGGCCGCTGGCGCCAGGGGGGGCACATCGGCCGCGTCCAGCTGCGGCCTAATGGGCTTGGCCGCCGAGCCGCGCTCGCGATCCGCCTTCTCGCGGTAGCACTTGGAGCAGTACTGGCCGCAGGCCGGGTTCCTGCGCGCCACACGCGCACCGCGCCGTCAGCCGCGGCCCACCACGTGCAGCAGCAGAGCGGATCGCAGAGTTCTCGCGAGCCATCCAGCCGAAGGGGGCGCACTCACGCGAAGAAACCGCATCCGTTCTCGCAGAGGGCGGGCTGGTTGGGCTGCTGCACGCCCTCGTCCTGGTCGAGGTGGTTCGCCATCGGGGATCGCGGGCTGTGGGGGGGCGGGGGAGTGCAACCCTCCGGCGTTCCGCTCGCGGCAGAGGGGAATGGATGGCCTGTGGGCGTCCTGCCCCTTGGCAGCGGCCAGCGCCCTGTGAAGAGACTGGGGCGGCGGGCGCCTGTGCGCGGAGCAGGTGCCTGCCGGTGGGGAGCGCGGCGCCCGGGACAGCACGGCTGGCTGGCGCTCTTGGCTGGGGCCGGTTTGGGGGTGCTCTGGCTTTGGATTGGGGAATGGCCGGGAGGCCTTATCTACGCGTTGCTGATGCGCTTCCAGCGGCTCTCCGAAAAGGACGTGCGCTTGTGGCGTGCCACCGCCCCGCATGAGGGCCCCGGCCGCCGGGAATGGGCCACGACGTCGCAATTACTTTCTCGGAAAAGTTGGCTGCCTTTGCCGTCAGCGCGGGGGCCGCCTGCGTGGGAATCGCCGTGGCAAATTTTGAGGACGGCGCCGCGGGCTGTGGCGGGCGGGTCCCTGGTACTTTGGCGGCACCTCCAGACTGAGTGTGCAGCAATTCGGACGGGGGGATTCTTTTGGGATCATGGGCGGCTTGCTTTCTGGGGACCTTTTCATTTTTCGCTCTGTAACGACGTGGGTGCGCTGTGCGTCCTTCTTTGTCAGTCATTGCCAAGGCTTCGTAGGCCACTGGCCAATGACCCTGGCTGACTACCTGGCATCAAACATGCGTGCCCCACGACCGGTGCCTCGTGCAACTGCACACTGCGCTCATTCATGCCATGTCTCCATCACCAAGTGCGCACCTTCTTTGGTCACGTTTCCGTGAGTTGCTGGAGAGGCGGGAAGGTGGGTAGAAGTTGCCCATGCACACTCTCGATGCACGAGATCAACGACGGCTAATGGGTGCATGTTGGGCCTTCAAATACCCAACAAACTCGCCTCTTCCCGCCCAGCCCCTGATCTCTACTTTGGACCTCGCCTGGCGCCCAGCCAGGAGCGCGCCCCCCCCGCGATGACCTCTCCGGCGCCCGGCGCCCTTGGGCGTCTCGGTAGCATGGCGCCGAGCGCCCTCCACGTCAGGCACCCCGAGGCCATCTGCGGCAGGACGCACAATGCAGCGGGCTTGGGCGGGCGCAGGCGAGGTTGCGCTGCAGGGGCCAACAGGATAGTGGCCGTGGCCGACGTCTCCACCAGCGACTTCGAGGATGTTGTGCTGAAGGTGACCGTGAGATCAGACCGCCGACCCGGGCGGCGTGAGCTGGCCACTGATCAAGGGAGTTTGGACGCGTTGGGTGTGAGAAAGAGGCGCCTGTGAACAGCTTCTGAACGTCCACTGGCGCCACCGCCTCTGGATCAGGCGGCTGTGGCCTGCACACTTGCGATGTGCGTGCTCCCGTGGTGTAGAATGCAATGGCCGATTCGGGCGGAACACCGTTCTGGCGATTTGTAAGGTGCAGTGTAAAGCATGCACTTGTGCATGCGTTCACGCACCGTTTTCTTATGTTGCTGCGTGCCAAGATGGCTAATGAGGTCGTGCTGCGTGTTGGGCACAGTCAGACATCCCAGTTTTAGTGGACTTCGTGGCGCCATGGTGTGGCCCATGCAAGCTGGTTGCTCCAATTGTGGAGTGGGCGGAGAAGGTACGGGATCGCCATGCACTTTCCCAGGTGCATGTGAGTCACTCCCCGGAAACGGCTTTCTCGCGCACAGATCAATGGTTCCACAGCAGAATTTGAACCGAGGGGATGAAGGTTTGGAGGCAAGCAGACACTCTGAGCGCCAATTGTGCTACTCTTTCGTGGAATATCTTTTCAAGAAGCTGACACCACAAAATCACAGCCCTTTCATGTGCTGTCTGTTGCCATGGGGGCGTTGTAGATGCTTTGTCTTGCCTTTTGAGAGGAGTGCAACCAAGCTGTGGGCAGTACCCACGATCCTCCACCCCAGTGTAAAATGCAATACCCCGTTTGCAGCATTGAAGGCATTGATGCGAGAAGAGCCTTCCTTGCGTATAACAGCCATGTATGATACAAAAGCGTGAATGCAGCGTCAGATATCGGGCCTCCATGCTGTTTGAGATTCTGAAAGTCACTTGGGAGGCCTGCTCCCTTTCCAAGGGCTGTAATGTCCAACCCAGAAGACTCAACTCACTTCAAACTCCTTTCGGTCGGCATGGAGGAAAATCATTTCTATTCTGGGGCTGCAGCATTGACTCATAAGGTTACGAACAGAAAATCAGAACAATTTGTGTGCAGGCACAAGTGCCTTCTCAACTTTTGTCAGCAAGTGTGAGGACCAGATCTGATGAAGCCCAATTATGGCACCGTGTGCTACTTGCCATCGAACAAGTTTGTCAGTGCTCAGTGAACAGTACTTTGATACTCTTGAGGTGATGGGCAAGCCCTGCTTGCAACCAGGAAAGTTTGTTTTTGCAAAAAGCAGTAAATGGTTCTGTGTCTTCATTGCCTACCTGGATTAATCCATTTGCAAAATGCTTAGTTCTATTCCTGTGTACATGTCATGCTGCTGTAGCACATGGCACCTCTGCAGAGCTGAGTTTGGCAGATGGTTGATGCTGTGTTTGCTTGGGGTTAAGGAAATGTCGTCGCAATTCGGAACCAACAATCATGCTTCCAAATGTTTCCCAGTCATCGGTCGGGGCTTATGTGGGACAGAGAGCTGTCCTGTGTATACTGGGAAAATGTCTCTATTTCCTCTTCCTTTATATTTGTGGGTTGTGGAGCTCAATCACCCTTTGGCATGATTGGACACAAGAAGTTATACACACCATTGTATGAAGCAAGAAAGAGACAAGTGGTTGCTCAAGTGGCACTTGGCCTGAATGGTGCAATTTTTTGGACATGCCACTGATTGCCAGCCCCTGGACAATACGAATCGTTTGCAAAAGCTTTGACTTTTGCTGCTGGAAAAGGTGTCGATGTCTTCCTCTACCCATTTCCTGGAGCTGTAAAGATGGGCACAGGGCCACAGTACATTGCCACTGCCCTTTGCATGGCATTATCTGGGCTTGTTTTGGAAACACTGGCCTCCTCCATGCTGTGGGTGTCACCCTGAGTCTGCATTGTTTGGCTTCTGACTCCGTTCGTTCTGTCAACAGTCTCTGACAGGCTGCAGTCCAATGTTGCACTCTTTCTGTGGGTAGTCAAGCCAGCTTACTGAGCCGTTTTGTGTTGTTGCACTTTCATTTGCTGCAGGAATATGCTGGTGCCTTGAAGATTGTCAAGATTGACATTGACCCCAACCCTGACCTTGTTGAGCAGTACAAGGTATATTTCATTGATCTGATTGTTCCATTGGTTTCGTGTAGTGCACAGAAGTCATTGTGCTTCTTATCCTTGATCTTCAATGGACGTCCGGAGAGTTGTGTGCCAATCTATATTGCAGTTGTTTCACACATCTGTGGAATCAGTCGCTGGCTGTGGGGGCCATTGCATCGCTGAACAGGGATTATTGAATGAACATATTCTTGCAGTGACCATGGCGAAACACATTGGTCGTGCAAGGTGCCTCTGCATTCAAATGTACTCATTCCAGGCCTTAACTCAACAATAGATGTTCACCACCGAATGTGGGTTGCAGCACAATATATATTGCATTTGCAGCTTGCCATGGTCCTTTAGCTCACACCTGCAGCAAGATACTCATATGTCCAATAACTGTTATTGGACAGCATTCTGGCATTTCTACTTGTGTTGTCAAGAACAAGCACATCATTTCTTCCTGTCCTGTTTCACCCCACCAAGTTCCTTGGCTGCATTGCTCACACTGGAATGTGTTGTATGCCGTGCCTGTTGCACTCAGGCTTCTGCATCCTCTTCTGCAGTATGGAAAGGAGTAATGCAGGGAGTCATGCCCAGGACGGCAGCCTCTTTGCAATGTATTATTATTGTTAGAAAGACACTGTACACAATGGTCTGTGCAGAAAAGGAAAACTCAAGAAAGGATAACAAAGCAAATGGCATCGTGTCACACATTATCGCCAGCAACTCCATCCAGCCTTGATGTCTCCTTTGCATAAACACTCAATTGCTGTTTGAGCTCTCTGTGAAAACACCCTGCCAGGTGTATGGCTTGCCAACATTGCTGATGTTTCGAAATGGTGAGGCGATCGAGGGGAGCAAGCATGAAGGTGCAATCACGAAGGACAAGCTCATAGCATACATAAGGGAATGTGGAGTGGCGCCAGTGAAGAGCTGACGCAGTCGATATGAAATGCTGATACTCCAGCATTTCTATCCTGTGCATTTTGCATATTTGTATTGAGGGACTTGTACATTTGGGTTTGAACTGAGAGTCAAGTGCAGATTGTTGGAATGGGGTCTCCACAAGATCTCTGCTGTTTTGCTCTGGTGTGTTGGTCTTTTGGACGTCTGTTATGACCATGGGCACCTGATGGATTGTGGTACCAGACCCAGTGATTTTTTGGAATCGGAATCCCAGGCTCATGATGGCCTCAAGATGTTGTTGCCAAAGGAAAAGCCTGGTGGATGATGGAAGCACTGGTGCGTGCACATTGATTTGCGTCATGCCCAGTAATTGGGATTACATTGTGCAGAATACTTTGTGGCGAAACTTGCTTGCACGTTCAGTGGATCCCTTCGATTGCTGTGCTCGAATTGCAACATCTTGACTTAAGCAATCCTAACAGGCCCAGCTATCGAGCCATTTACCCACCAGAAAATACGATGGCAACCGGCTAGCCACTGACACTGTCTGTGATAGCAGAGCTGTTGCTTCCTGAAGGAACAAATTGGAAATCTGCTTCCCGGCGTTCGATGGCCGGTCTCAACGCATTAAACATAATGTTGATGGGGCTGTGGACCTCTGTAGGAATTCAGCCAGCGCCCCACTATCCGATCCTCAATCAAAGGATCTCTATGCACTGCAGTAAGCGTTGTGTCTGTCATGCCACCGGCCCCATATGATTCAAAGCCACCAACCCAGCCCACCGCGACACCTTGGATTCCATCCTTTATACCACATCTCTGGAGGATGAGAAGCTGGTGTGAAGTGTGGGGACGAATGGCGACGCATCAGGACCATCATCGTGTTGTGATGCGCCAGGTAGTTTGCTTCGCGCTATGATGCCAAGTAACGTAAAGGACACTATCGCCTCGCACATTCTGGAATAGATTGTCGTGCTTGGTGAACCCTTGACCATGGAAACCCCGGAGGCACCACCAGCCCTCCACGCCCTCAAGTGCAAGGTTTCACCCCCTCCCTGTCTGCCATTAACCGCCTCACAAACATACCATAAGGCCCGCCCCCCACACACATCGCACCCCCGAGGAGCCCACATCTCCCCCGCCCCGCGCCCGAGCGGCACCCCGATCAGCCGTGGCGACGCCCGCGGCGCCCCGCCCGGCGACCATGCTCTCGATCGCCTCGTCGTTCGAGACCGGGCGGCCCGGCGCGCGCATCGCCCCCGCGCCTGCCCTCCCGCCCAAAAAGGCCAACCCCGTCAGCCGATCGGCTCCCGACCACTCCGCCCGGTGCCCGGAGCCCTCCGCACGGCCTCCAAGCAACTCTCCGGCCGTCTCCGCGGCGGTCCCGGATTGCGATCCCGCCCTTTTGCCGGGGCCGTCCAGCAGCGGCGTGGTGGCGGTGGGGGATGAGATGCGGATGGGACGGGAGGTTGTCCCTGTGGGAAAGGCTGGCAGGCGTTTGAGGAGAGGGGATGAGGGCGGGCGAAGTGCGCGGTGGCAGGCGGCGGCGGCGAGGCTGGAGGAGGCGTCGGCCGCCGGGGTGCCCCCCCCGAGGGAGGCGTGCAACGCGGTGCTGCAGGGTGCGGGCGGGCGATCGGGGAATTGGGTGGGGATGGGAGATGGGGTTTGCATTGGTGGGCGCGGGGAACGCCGTTGGGTTGGACCCCCGGCGGTGGGCGCGGGTTTGTCTCTTAGCGAGGTCATGGCATAATGTGCTGACTGTGTGCGGACAGCGGTCTCTGCTAGGAGCGATTTGGTATGTTGGGTGTGGATAATGTGGTCTGCCAGTGATTGAAGTTTGCATTTGTGAAGGACACGCTGGCGAAGTGTACCCAGAACTAATGCCTGCACGTGGTGGACTTTTCAAAACTTTGTGATTGGCCAGGGTCCATATCCCTCAAATACATACTGAGGTTTCGAAATCATTAGTGGGCTAGCAAGTAGAACGCGCCATCGATAAACTGCTTCAGGACATGGTCATGCTTCTTGTGCATCGCTTTGCTGTGAGTTGTGAGATGTTGAAAGCATGTGCAAGGATGAACAGGCCTTAGTTAGCAAATCGCCGATCTTCATATTGCTGCAGAACAAGACGACGTCCCCAAGGTACACCTATGCCAGATAAATGGCAACTGTGCGAAAGCGAGTTGTGTTGCTTGAGCCATTACAAGGAGGCTATGGTAGTGGTGAAGTGTTTTGGCCTGTTTGCTGTGCAGGAATTTGCTGTTCCTCTGTTACTTCTTTATTCACAATTGCACCTTTCTATTTCAGGGCAATGTCAAAACCTGCAATTCAACAAACCTTGGCGGACATACTGCGAGTTGAAGAACAAGTTTCCTGATGACATGGGCAATTTGCTGAGCTACCAAACATACCACATACTCATGTCGGCAGCTTTGCAGGTGAGTAATACTCAACACAATCTTTATGGGGACTGTCAAAGTATGGCAATCGCAGTGCTTCCTTCACCAATGGCAGGCACATATTTGGAATCGCTGCATGTACGTCAGTAATTTTCCAAAGGGGGGCTGAATGAATAACATGCGCTGCCACCATGGGCACAAGCCTGTACGTAAGGACGAATAAGACCGCACTGGCACTGTAGTCATTTAGCTCAAACTGTGGGCCTCTCTTAGTTCTGTTTTGGGTTCTTGGGTAGATCAACAAGCAAAGGGACTACACTATCAGCAAGTGGATGGATTGGACTAAGTGGATGCCAGTGAATTGCTTTCATTGCATCGTAATGCTGCTCAAAGTCACTATTCGTTTGTGTGCTTCCATGTTGTGCAAGGCTGGTGATGATCTCAAGGCTGTTGAAGTTTTCAGGGACCTGCCAATGGCGGGGTTCGAAGCCAATGTGGTGACACACTGCCAATTGATCAGTGGGCTGCTGAAATGCCGTCGGCGGGGCACCCCCAATAGCCAGCAGGCGTATCAGCTCTGGCAGGAGCTGTCCCTGAGGGGTGACCTGGATGCTGGAGCGTACAAGACAGGTGCTGTGCAAGTGTGGTCTCATCATGCAGTCCTTAGCACTGGACTGGACTTGGACACTAATGTTTGATCTATGCCACTGGGATATTGTGCCATGACTATTCGCCTTGAGCTGCTTGCACCTCTTTTGCTCAGTGCTTTGGTGCTGTGTATGTGAAGGTTGCAATGCTTGCATTGCGGCGGGGAAGCTAGAGGAGGCCGAGAAGCTGATAACCACAATGAGGGTGCATGGGTTGAGGCCTGATGTAAAAATGTACAACATTGTGCTTAAGGTGACTGTGGGAGCCATTGAGCCATTGACGGGCAGTGTTGTGAGTGCTTCTCGGAGTGTGCTGTTTTTGGTGCCCACATGAAGATGGACTGAATGCTTTCTCACATGCGATGTGAACATTGACACACTGGCCAAGACACGTAGCCCAGCTGAACTCAGATGATCAGAATAATCAGTTTGTTTGTATAAGCAGTCTTCAAGGGCCCACGATGCTTGCCAGAAGAACAGCCCAACTCGCTCATCATCATAACAGACAAAATACACAGGTCTCCAGGAAGCAAACTGCACAGCAACACCCATTGGGAGACTGGGGGTGGAACATGCACTTAGCAAGGATCTAGGGAGATGGAGGAGCCACACGAATGCTTGCATGTGACGTTAACAGCAAAAAGCCAGATGCCAACTGCTGAATATGGTTGTCTTGATTTGTTTGCCTGGATGCGATTGCTGCTTCCACGTTTTGTGTCAAGGTCAGGCTGCCACAGTTGTGCTAATGTGCAGTTGCTGCCTTGGCAGGGTCGTTGCAAAATTGGCAACATGGATTCTGCAGTCCAGTGGCTGCAGATGATGGAACAGGCGGATTTGCAGCCAACTCGTGTCACCTACAACACGTTGGTGAATGGATTCGTTGACAATGGACAGATGGCAAAGGCTCAGGCGATGCTGGAAGAGGCAGACATCGAAGGCATCCCTCCTGACGTGTGGTCGTATACTGCGTTGATGAAAGGGCACCTGAAGGATGGACGGCTTGACAAAATGGAACAGTGCATCGTTGATCTTGAGGAACGGGGGGGCAAGCCGAACCTGGTAAGTCTGTTGCCATGGTTTCTTGGTTGCAGAAGCATCTTTGGATTTTGGTATTCATCGACTGCAAATAGTGCTTCAACCAAGAGCGATGCTCTTTTTCCGAACGCATTCAAGGTACTATGTGGCTATCTGCTACAAGACATGTTGAGTGAAAAAAATACTATGTACGTCACTAGCAAAGTGCCTTAGCTGTGGCATAGATTTGTGGTTGTGCATTGGGCTTCCAATACTCAAAACTGTCAAGAAGTCTTGCTGTATTCAATCCAGGCGTTTATGGTGTACCATCAAGAGTGCTTGTTTCCCATCTGTGCAATTTGTGTGATCATGTTCTGAAGAAATCTGTGTCCTTTGTGCTTGTGAACAATGGATTTGTTACATGCCCAGATGCACTTCTTGTTTTGTCAGACACTGAAATAGCATTTACCAATTGTGGTGTGTGGGATCAGGTGACGTTCGGTGTTTTAATTGATGGATATGTGTCCATTGGGAACATGGAAATGGTGGAAGCAACCCTCCAGCGAATGCGACAACTTGGCATCAAGCCTAACGTTGTTATTTACAACACCCTGTTGAAAGGCCTTGCTGCTTCTGGCAAGGCTTCTGTTGAGGTGAGTAATATGCATTGCATAGGAGACTGGGCGTGAAGCTGTGGACCAAGATGGACACAAAGCAGAGGTTGTTGTCTTGTGCTGAAGGGGGCTCACACGCATTCCATGGGAGCATGTTGTTTGCAGCGGCATCGATCACGGTGGCTGTGGATATATCACGCAGTCAGCCATCGAGTTGTCCACTTCTGGCAGGACAGAGAATGTGATGATTGAGACTGATGATCAGTATGATTCCTGGTAGAGCCATTGCCATCTGTTTATTCACCAAACCATGCCATGTTCAGTACCGAAACTGCCTGAGAGCTTATTCTGACCTTTGGTTTGTCCAAATTCACTGCTTCATTTATCTCTGATGTGCTGGTTCGCAGGACATGTTTGGCATGTTGGACGACATGGCGTCCTGGGGCTTGGTGGCCAAGGCAGACACATACAACATCATCCTGCAGTACATTATTGCACGGGGCCAGTATTCAGCCGTGGAGGGCATCTTCCATCGGATGATCGAGGCAGAGGTTTCTCCAGATGCAATCTCATACACTCTGCTGCTCGGATCGACAAAAGACCGGGGGATGCCAGTCAGGGGGCGGCGAGTGTTTGAACAGCTGCAAGGGGATGGTGGAGCAGATGTGGACGTTGCGGCTTGGAGCGCCTTTGCCTCGTGTCTGGTGTCCGCAGGAATGATGGACACGGCGGAGCAGGCTGCAAAGGATGCTGTGGCTTGTGCGAAGGAACGGGGGGAGGCGGTGCCGCTCAAGGCCTTTGGGGCCATCATCGATGGGTGAGGCCATCTCCTTTACTGGGTGGTACCTTTGCCTGGGCTATGTGGAATAGCCTGAAGCCGATGTCATTCTTGTGCTGATGCAAACAGACAGTACGAAATCTGCCATGGCTCTTACACCTAGCATTGTGAGGGGGAACATCAATCACACACCATGGTCACTCAGTGTTGCCGTTGATGGTGTAAGAGTGGTGGCGGGTGCTGCTGACGTTATCACAGCAACCCATCTCCCAGTTTGGCTCGTAACACTCAGAGTTGTTCCATTGCTGTTGCAAGGTACTCGAGACAAGGAAACGTCCACAAGGCCATCGCCATGTTCCGGCAATTTTACAAACTTGGTGGTCAACCTGACCTGCATATGTTCGAGTCCCTTATGGAGCTGTGTCTACGCTGTGGAGAAAATGAGCCTGCCCTCTCGGTAGGTACCGTGGTGCCTTTGAACAATCTTGCCAATGTGTTTTGCTGAATTTCTGCCTTTCTTCGGCAACCATCATCACCAGGGGGCTCAGCCTGCCAAGGCCCCAGTGACCAGGAGATTTCCTTCGAGTGCCGATCTGCTGTTTCGAGTTCGGAGGAAAACAACATCTCTCTTGCATTGTTTGGCGACAGCGAGCTCATTTTGCCACTGTCCTTGATGCCCTCAGTATGAGTTGTGACTAGCTGTCAAATTTGTTCTGTGAGGCTTTCATTAGTCATGTTCATATCTGCATGTGATTAAGAGTGTTGTATGGCCCAGCAGAAGCTGGCGTATGTTGCTGCTTGCTGCCTGTTTTTTCTCTACCCCTCCCTGGTGTTCGCCTTCCTTACAGTTGCAAATCTTCCCCTACGCACTATCCTGTTGTTTCTGACAGCTGCTGCTTCTCATTTGATGATCTGGCGATGAATCGGAAGTCTACTGTCCGGAAGAGGTGCACACTGTTTGACAGGCTGGCAATAATTGGGTGCTCCCTGTGCTGCTGTTGGCCGTCAGCTGACCTTGCTTTCTGGGCTCCATCACAGATTCTGAGGGCCTTGCAGTTTTCAGGGCTGAAAGTTGACATGAACAAGTATACGAGCTGGTTCGAAGATGCAGATGAAGGGCAATTCAAGGGGAACAGCGCACAGAGCCGCGAGCTGTCAACCAGCATTGAGAGGTTGAAATTTTGGGTGGGACTGCCAAATGGGTATTATGACACAGAGTGGCCATGACATGAATGGGCACTCCCTGACATGAATGGGATTCTTTGTGCAATGAGGGGCTCCAGCTGGGTAACAACAACCTTGACCTGCACAGCCCCAACATGCTGTCGCGTTTGAGGGGACTGATGCTCTTCCTTGGCTTCATGATTTGCACATCCACGCTGAGATTGATCTGGAAGATGATTGCGTACTTGAAATGCACGTGGGATGGAGAAAGATCCCTGTTCTGTGGTGGTTTGCCAGTATTGTACATGAATTCCTTGTGCATCGAGATGGTTGACACAAGCAAGGAGGTGATCGGCTCCTCCAAGCAGATTTTGCATTTTGGAGCAACAATGGCAGTCATTTTTTGAGATCAAAGCGGTGCTCCTGTACACTGAGAGGAAATTTTGTAACTTGTAGACGTTTGTGGTGGGCATGAGAATGCACGTTCCAGCATACAGGGCGTGCCAGCAGGCCGTTTTGGCCCTTTTGTAGATTTTTGAGAACAACATGCGCAAGAGGCTCGTTTGTACAAAGATAGCATTGGAGTGTCTTGTCGTTGGTAACGCCCAAGGACGGCCCTGGCGTTTCTGGATGTCCTCCGCTCGAGATACAAAGAGGCACCCTGGGCCTTCTTTGCCATGTTTCCTTGCATGCCGTGCGCTCCTAGAACAGTGCCAAAGAAAAGCGTCCTTTCATTTGACGGTTTCATTGGAAACGGAAGAGATCCACACTTTTTCAATGCATTTTTTTAATGGTACGTTTGGATTCCCTGTTTCAGAGTTAGGGGAGACACCGTTGATTTTGGTACGCTCAGCGTCAGTTGACTCTGAGCGTACCAAAATCGACACAGTGTCTTCCCTTAACGAGCACATGAACGACTTTGTGCACACCCCACGAGTGGCACGCAGCCAGCGTAAGTAAACCAGCTGATGTGCTACAGCAATGGCAGCAAGGAGCAGGCACACGATCTTACAGGCTGCAAGCAAGTCATAGCGAGCGCCACAACGATGATCCTTTCATTTTCGCGGACTCGTGCCTCCAAGATGCCTGGGAGAGACCAACACACCACAGGGAGGGCGAGCGGGAGTGAAGGACCAATTGTGCCAAGCGGGGCGGGCACGTGTTTTTAATGTAAGGGAAGGCGTTATGTCGATTATGGCATGCTTGACGTCAATTTGAGCAGGTCCTTGGAGGCCTTACATTACACTCGACATTCCGCACAGTCTCCACCTTTCATACACCCTCCTGAGTGCACGTTTTCTTGCCTTTTGATTGGTTGTGCGCTCATCTTTGCTCATCAGAAGCTTTATATCATTTTTCACAGCATGGAAAAGAGCCTTGCACACACATAGGAGGGGGTGCCCTTTGTATGGCGGTCTCTCTTTCTTGCAACAAATCTTAACCCCACCCCACCCACCGCCTTCCCACCCCTTAGCGTCAATCCGTATGTCAATGCCAAGATGACTCTGCAACATTACCTAACAGTGACATACAGTTTCTAGGTGATTTAGAGGAGGAAAAATGGTCAGTGTTGCATTGATTTAGGTGGGTTGGAAAACGGGATTTAAAGGCAATGATAACCAAGGCTAGCTACCTCAATGGCTGCAAATTGATGCGTACTAAGCGCTTCCTTCATGATTGAACATTGGAGGAGGTATAGGAACAAATCACAAGTCGTTTGCAGTTGCTCCGTGGTATTTTTAGTTATGTTTCCTCCTTATGTCAATTTTATGACAATTACGTATTCTCTTAGCGTCAGAGGTTTGCCAGTGTACCTCACCCCCTTTGCGTCAAATTCACACTAAGCGCACCAGAATCGACATAGGGTAGTGCCTTCCCTAAGTCACAAATATCTCGTAATACCCAGCTTTTATGCATGCCACTGATTTGCTATTGTTCTCGGCGCAATTCCACATGGCACAGTGCCCTTCATCGGCTTGCGGCTCTACAAGAGTGGCATCAAAAGCATTGGCTTTTCATGGCATATTCCCTAAAGTGAACTTGCCGAATGCTTTGATGTTTGCCAATTTGTACCTTCGAAACATTTCTACTGTGAGGAACAGGGGCCAAAAGAATGCAAAAAAAGCAAAGAACGACAGAAACAAAGGGCCCCCGTTTTTCACACACCGAAGTCATCGAAATGTGCAGGCCAATTCCTGGTGTTCTAAGTAACTTGCGCAGGCGCACCTAAACGAACCAAGAACTGTTCAAGAGAATCATAAGGCAACATCATGAGAGTCATGAGGAAATATATGCTTGCGACACGGTGAGTTGCTCAAATCCTTTGATTGCATATGTCACAAAAACATGACAAAACACTGCCCTTGCACCTTAAAGGCGATGTTGGGCATAAATTCCAGATCAGAATTATGGATCTTTTCGCATTGTTTGTTCATTGTTACACAGAATCCCTCCCCCCGAGTTCCGAAAACCCTCCCATCTCCCTGACCAAAGTAATCCCCTGAGTTGCATGGGAGACACATTGTCAGACTTGCACGCCTAGGGAGCAATGCAACCCGGGCGATGAATGATCCCCAGCGACCCTATTCCTCTTTGTGCGCGATGCTGCTTGGCTCGCGGCTGTCACATTGCAACATGTCCATCTCTTCCAACGATTTGTCTTTCACCTCTCGGTTACCTTCATTACCCGACCACCTTCGCACCGGGCAACGAGGTCACACACCGAGATTCCAGGGCGACACGTGCAGTCAGGCATTGCCAAGACGAGGGGTGGGGTGCCACACACCCCAGGGTACAACGGTACAAACGTTCCCGCATCCCCCCAGGGGTCAGTTCCCGCCCACCAGCTTTCGCGGCGCCTCGCGCAACCGCGGGCAGTCTCGTGCGGCCAAACGCCCGCCAGCGGCGTCAGATGGCGGCACAGTCGCCGCGGTCCTCCCGCCGACGCCAGTGGCTCTGGTCGGACGCCGAGCGGGACGATGCCGTTCTCAAGTTTTTCGCCGACACCAGCCTGGTGCCCATTCCGGGAGCGGCGCCGTCGGCCGCGCGGTGCCTGCAGCTGACAGGGGCCGCCGCGTGCGTGCTGTCCATCGGCCTGCCGCCGGGGCTACCCACGCCCCCGCGGGTGGGCTTCCCGCACCTCAAGGCGAAGAGCGCCTACAAGCAGTACCCGTTCAGTCAGCCCGCGCGGTCGGAGGTGTCTGAGGAGCGGCCTGAGGCGATCTCCGCGTGAGTTTCGCCGGCGGGGGAGGCGGGGCGGGAGCGGAGGTAGCGGGGGGTGGGCTGGTGGGTGGGGTGTGAGGAAATGCCGCGACCGGTGCTGGGGGCCGCGCGCGGTTTACCTGCTGGCGCTGGCGGTCGGCGGACGGCCGTGCGCGGCAGTGACCGTGCAAGATCGCGTTGTTGCCCAGGCTGGGAGTCCGGTGGGCGCCTGGGAGGCGAGGCCGGTGTGACGGAGGCCGGCGGTCGAGTCCTGAGTCAGTGCGCGTGATGTTGTTCGCAGGGAGGAAGTCGCTTGGGGTGCGCGTTCGGGAGAGGTGGGTTGCGGTCGTCAGGATTGCTCCGGAAGACTTGGCGTCTCAGTGCTGCTCGCCAGTTATGTTTCCCCTGCACCTTCCGACGGCACGCGCTGCGGCCTTCGTTTCATTTCGTGCGTTCCGCAAGCGGCCGCCCAGCGGTTCGTTACTTGAGGCGGATCACTTGCGGGTGTCGACCGACTGGTTTGCATTGCCGCTTAAGAGCTGCTCATGCATCACCCCGTTCTTGCTACTGCCTTGCCCACAGATCTCCGACGATGAGGGCGGCAAAGACGGGACCTCCACGCCCACGCCGAGGTCTGAGCCACCCATCCAGCCGGCCGCAAGTGGACAGCCGGGACAGGAGGAGAGCGCGGAACCCGCAGAAGACGGTGCGCAATTGGGTAGCGTAGGAGACGGTGTGAAATTGGGTACTGCAGGAGGCGGTGCGCTATTGGGTAGCGCAGGAGACGGTGTGCAATTGGGTAGCGCAGGAGACGGTGCGCAATTGGGCACCGCGGCCGAGCTTGATACACACGGAGCGGCAGAGAAGGAGGGTGGGGGATGTGCAAAGGGCCAAGTCCAGGAGCAGGAGGAACGGGGCCCCACGGCAGTTGTCGTTCGCGCGGCAAACCCCGAGTTGTGCGAGTCCAAGGACGGCGGTGGGATGGACGCTGCAAACGCAGAACAGGATGGAAGTCCAGAGGCTGGGAAAGTAAACGGGGATGGTGAGCAGCCCGAGGGCCCGAAAGTCGAAGGCGCCGTAGCCAGGGAGGCGAGCGCGCTAGAAGTCTCTGAATGTGCGGCGCCAGTCGATGAGGGACAACAGGGCAGTCTGGATGGTATGCAAGCCCAGGCCACCGGGGATAACAGCGAGGTGTCTGGAGATGCCGCCCAGCAAGGCAGCCAACAAGGCTATGACCAGCAAGGTCGAACCCAAGGGGGTGATGGAGAGGAACGAAGAGAGGAAAAAGTTTTGGGTGAGGTCAGTGGGAAACGCGAACGGAAGCGGGGCCGAAGGCGGAGCCGACGACGTGATAGAGATGGTCACCAGCAGCGTGGAGATGACGAGCACAAGACTGGTGTGTCTCGACCTGACGCTGATGGAAGTGGAATGCAGGGAGGAATTGGAGTGCACAGTCAACAGCAACATGTGGGGACTTCGAATGGGTCCTCTGTGCATGCACCCACAGAGGGCCGGAGGGCTGGCAGTGAGAGCCACCAGCACGAAGACAACAGTTTAAAGAACAGCGAGCCATCGCGGCGCACACCTCAGCGAAGACGAGATGGTTCGTTCGCCAACGATGTGTGGAGGCCCAGCGATGTTGCACTCACCCCAGGAAGTGAAGGGTATGAACCCCATCGGCAAAGTCGTCAACACCGAGACGACACAACAACAAGGAGTGGCATGCCACCACGCCCGTCTCCAAGGATGCGAAACGATGCTTGGGAGGGAATGGTGTCTTCTCTGCAGTGTGGCGCGCAGGCCCGTGCAGGAAGCCGGGAAAGACAGCGGTACCCAAATGACGTTTGGAAAAGGACCAGTCCCTCTCCTCGCGGTGCACCGGGAGGACAAAGGCGGGATGATAGGTTGGAAACGAACTCAAACCGATCCCAAGATGAGGCACTTGGCAGACGTTCCCCCTATGCTGCATCACCGCGCCAGAGACAAGATGGTTTTATGGATGGCCGTCAACACTGGGATGGAACTTACGCAAAGGGCAGGCAGTCTCCTTACAATGCTTCACCACGCCAGAGACAGGACAGACGATGGGAAAAGAAGGGGCACCATGATGAGGCATTCGCTTATGGCCGACAGTCACCTTTGCCCTCTGCGCATGGGAGACAGTCGCCATATCTCCCTTCACCAGGAAGGCAGTCACCGTTCCCCTCTTCACCAGGCAGGCAGTCCCCATATCCCCCTTCGCCAGGCCGGCGGTCGCCATACCCCTATGCGCAAGGCCAGGTGAGGCAGGATGCCCGCAAACCTGAGCGGCAAGATTCTGCCTGTTCTGAAGGTTGGACGAAAGTCAAGCCTCGCCGAAGGCGCAACAACAGGGGCTCCAAGAGGTCGCAGGTTCAGGGTAGGGTCGAGACGGAGAGACGGGTGGTGGCCCCGCCTGAGCACACTTGGGCAAGGTACTCGACTGTCGGCCACAGGAGTCGACAAGAAGAGAGCGCCAGAGCTGTTGCACGCCCAGAGACTGAGGCTCATAGGAGGCACAGGGAGAAGGTTGCTCAGGAAGCTGCTGCTAGGGCCCAACAGCATGGCCAGGTGGCTCAGCACAACGGGCTGGGAGGAGGCCACAATGGCGCTCTTGCATCTTAACCTCTTGCGTAATCGAATGTTGGATTCCAGGAGCAGAGTTTGGGTGGGATGGTCAGGCAGCGTTGGGAGTCCTGAGGGTGGGGTAGTCGGACTGAACGCACGAGTTGAGTTGCCAAAGCTGTTTGTCAGGTCGTGTATTATTTTGGTTTTTGGTGATCTTCTATTCTTCAGTAGCCTGAGATTCCTGACTGGCGTTTTGGATTCAATGAAGAGCCAGATGAAAGACGATTTGCAAAGCCACAGCCCAACAACAGTGCCGCTAATAGTGGTATGGTCGCCCTTGGCAAGCCTCCAGCGATGCCCCAAGGCCGCCTCCACAGTGCTTACTATGGGCCCCACATACATGCCCTTGGAAAAACAGCAAAATTCAAATGCCAGCACCCGAAGGTTGAAAAATTTGTATTCCTCAGAGATAGAGACCTTTGGAAGTGTCCATTGCAGTGCACAGTCTTCATTGTCACCGGATATGGTCAACAGTGTCAATTGTCACCAGATTCATCCACTGAGAAGAAAGCACTCTGCTTAGTTTCGGTCAGAGGATGCGTGCTGGTGTAACACTCGATGGATGCTGCTGCGCTCGATCGCGTCAGCAGGCTACAAAGACTTTGCTACTCCTCAGGCAAGTGTAATCCACGGAGTTCAGCTTCCGCGGCTCCCGGTTGATGCCATGTTACTAATAGCACGCCAAAACCTTGCTGGAAAAGGCGTCTGGCAATGCATGTACGGTCCGCCCGGACCCTTACTACTGCCGTTTGTTACATTTTGTGCTGTCAAACCACACGGTAGGCCCGCAACTGCCAAACGCCTGTGGCCCAGTGCAGAACACACGACTGCTGCACTCCTATGAACCGCCAGCCTGTGTAGTTAGTTTAGTAGCAGCTTGCTGGGGGCTTGCACCAACTACATGGACTGGAGGCTGGGCAGTCAGCAGAAAAAATGCGGCCGGCGACTGGGCTAGAGGACGGGAAGTCAGCGTCCTTGGGTTGAGTTGTGCCTCAAACCCCAGTTTCTCTTCCAAGGGGGGTTGAACGGGGAAGGGGGGGCACTCGACGTGGAGCGCTTTCTCTGATGGATTGGCCCTGCGAAGATTCATCCACCCACTGGAACACGCTGCGGGCGGCGCCCGGCCGCCGCGGTCAGTTTGATCCTCCAATTCGCGACTCCCAATATAAAGGTGGGTCAATATGGGGTCCATTCCAACGCTAGCACCACGCCACCTCTCCGCGCGAACTGGAAACAATTCTCGCGCGTGAGGGCGCCATTGCCCTCGGCGCACAAAGGGACGGCCGGGCAATCCACTCGGGGCGGTTTGCGACCTCCATGTGCAACCCGGCTTCTTTTGTCGCCACTGCCACCAAAAGCTCGGCGAGCGGCGCCGCATTTTGAGCTACGAGTCCGCGCGAGGCCGGCACTCTGAATCTCGGGCTCGCGCCGCGCAGGCGAAGGCGGATGCGGCGGGTGGGCGCGCAGCGCGCCGGCCGCGCAGGCCTTCCGGTCTTGGGGACCATCGTGTTGGGACCGCCCGAGCTCATCGACGGACCCGTCTGGCACCGGGGCTGGGATTGGCCGCACAGGCGCGGACTGCGCCCCCAGCGGCCCCTCTGCGGTCCCCATGCCGGTCGCGGTGGAGATCGGACGCGGGTACTTCCCTTGTGAAGCGTCGGGAGAGATGGCTGGGCGCGCAGACGCGAAGGCGAACGAGGCCGATCCGAGCGACCCCGGAAGCGCGGCCATTCCCGTGGGGGTGGAAGCCGAAGAGCTCATCCGGAGGCTGTTCACTCCGCGGCAGCAGGGCGCGGCGGACGCCGCGCTGGCACCCAGGGGCGCGGCGGATGGCGACCTGCACGCGGGGGGGAATTGCGGACGCCGGAGTGGCCTGCTTGGGGAGGATGTGGAGGGAGCGGGCCCCGAGGCGTCAAGGTAGCGGGCGGGCCGTGCTTGTGTTGTGTGGGTGGGCGCTTGGCAGGCTGCGGGGGCAATTGATTCGGGTGTGGGATCGGGGACGATGTATATGAGAAAGTTGCTCTGTACGTCGAAACGGCTGTCAAGCACTAATTAATTGGGACAGCGGCTGGGTGCAGGTGGGCATTTTGGCAGGCGGTCGGGTTGTGCTGAAATCCCTTGTATTGCGTTTGCAACACAGAAACACAAGCAATGTCCGTTTACAGAGTGCTGGTGGAAAGGCGTCTGTCCATAACAGCGATATTATCCCCGCAGACTTGCCAGAGGTGGAGTTGCAGCCTGCACAATATGTTGGTGCTGACAGAAACCCACCATATGTTGATTTGTGTGTGCTGAATGTCGAACCCCCTTGTACATGTATTGAGGCCTTGCCTGTCGTTGCTTCTTGGTTTTGATAAGCCGTATTCTTCTGAGCGGTTGTTAGAAGTCTACTGAGCAATGTTGATAGGTCTGTTTGGGTTCAGTACCACCATTTCCACGATCACCGTTCAGGGTGTTGGGTTTGATTGGGAGCAACATTGTGTTGTGTGCAAGCTCCAGATGTCCCTGCAAATGCTGAACTTCCCTCTGGTGTTGCCAGCATGATGCGCGACTCTGGCAGCATAACGCCAGAAGGGGCACTGGTTTCAGTGGACGCCTTGAAGCCTGGGAATTCTGAGGCAAGTGCCAAAATTCACTGTGGCTGGACATGTGCAACCCTTTTTAGCATCCAAGGCATAACTTGGGTGCCTTGCTGTGCACGGGATATGTCCTATACTGAGGCAGTGACCCTGCTTGTAGCATTCTCTAACAAAGTGCACCTAAAACTATACAACGGTGGCTATGGTTTGAGTAACTGCCTCATTGTCTGTGATTTTTCCCTTGCAAAGTGGTGTTTGTCAAAATGGAAGCTGCTGATTGTACGTTGCAAGCCAATTCTGTTGTCCAGGCTTCCTGATGAACTGTTGGCCTTGGCAGCAGGGCAGCCTTCAAGACAACACCTGGGACTTGTATGATCATGACCAGAGGACACAAGGAAGTTCTGTCGATATCTCAATGTTGCTGGCAGATGGCTCCCCATGGACAGAAGATGAGCTATCTGCAGAGTGGGCCACCAAAAAGAGTGAATCAGTGAGTGGAGCGGACAGCGGCAATGAGGGAGGTAGCGACTGGGAAACTTCGCCTGACAACACTGGATACCCAAATTCCTCCTCCTCAGCTTTCAGCCGGGAGGACTATTGTTGCGCCAGCGTTCCTGATTCCTGTGACAGGAATGCACTGACTTGTACTCCGAGGCAATTGCAGAATGGTCAGACAACTGGCACCTTGCAAATTCCAAAGCAGCCATTTGAGCCCAAGAGCAAACGGCGGTTGTGGGGCGAAGAAAGTCAGCCTGCAGTGCTTAACATTTCACAACCTGGGCCTGCCAAGGCAGGCTATGGTGGCGGTGCGCGTCTGCACAAACCAAAGCCTCGTAACATGTCTCTCTGCAACAGTGTCCCAGTAGGCCCCTCCAGGGCAAGGGGGCGTGGCATATGTGTTACACTGAGAGGGCCAACAGTTCAAGCAGACACTGGAATGAGAGAACCAACAGAGCAGGGGAGACGAGTTGAGACCTCCCAAGCTTGCAGTCAGAATGTTGGTAGCAGAGCTCTGACTCAAGGTATTCCATCAGCTGCCAGCAGGGGCCCCTCCATTTTCCACCGTGCTGGCAACAGTGCCGAATCTGCCCATCAATGGTGCCCAAATTGCAAATGTCGACTATCGCCTTGTGAAATTGCAGATGGCCAGTGGGGTCATGGGGTTCGCAAAGAGGATGGCTCCAGTTGCCGATGGGAGTTTGATAGAGGCCGTGGGAGGCTGTCTGAGAGCAGGGTGATCGTGTGCACCCGGCATGTGACCTGGGCAGGGGCTAGTGGGCGCGATCCTGGACGGCGCCAACACTCAACTCTGGATGGGCGCCCAGTTGATCGCCACCCTGTCATCCCTCCGCATCTCCGGCATTATCGGCCCCCGCCTTGCTTGAATGACCGTGGTCAGCACCAGCAGCATGCAGCTTGTGAACCTGGGGTCAGAAGTGGGAACCCAGCACCAATGGCTTCTAGACGGCAGGTGAGGTGTTCAGATGCATCATGCCAGTCTGCAGACAGGCAGCACAATTTCGAGGCAGCTGGATGTTCTGTGCAACATAGAGGTCCCTTCAAGCCTGAATTCGACCAGAACTGCCATACGGAAGGGCGCTGGCTGGTTTTCGGCAGGTTCGAAGAGCAGGGCAAGTGGAATGGAGTGGGGACGAAGAACCAAGATGGATGGAGACGGGGCAGGGGCATGGACCAATTTGGTGGTCGGGGGCAGTACACCACCTGCAGTGGAAGCAGTTGCAGTGGTGACAGGCTCTCGCGCCCAAGGAGCATGTCTCCAACTCACACGGACCCAGGGCGACATGGTTGGGAAGGTCATGGGGTCAACACAGGGCCTGTGGAAGCCAGGAGCACAGTCTGCCTTGCTCCCAGGGATGGTAACAATGTGGGGCAGGGCAACAGGCCTGTTGCATGCCAGTGCACGAATTCACTTGCGAGGCAGGAAAGTGCAGCTATGGCAGATGGCCAACGCCAGTGTGAAAAGGGGGTGCAGGCGAATGCTGAGCCCAGCGCCCAGGACCAGGGCGCGGCCAAGCCAGGTGATTGTTCAAATTCTGAGGCCACAACGAAGCCCGTTTTGAAGTACTTGTCCGAGGACAGGAGAAGGGGCCCACCACACTCCCGATCGAACTTTGCAGCCATTTCTAGAAATAGGCAAGGGTTTGGCCAATCTGTGTCTGGATGGGTCAGGGGCCCCCCTCCGCACTCTACACAAGAAAGGCATCCAAGAGGGCGCACACCTCATCAAAATGAAGATCACCATCGAAGGGCCGTCAGTCTGTCGCCCAGTACCATTCGTGGAGATTCTCCCAGATCGTTGTCCCCAGGCGACCGACTGTGTGACTGCAGCCCGGGGAGGAGGTCACAGGGTGCAAAAAATGGTAGGTATGTGATTGTGGCTCCCGCGGGACATTGGAGGAGGCCAAGGGGTCCAGGGGCAGCCCAGGTGATCCGGTGTTGACCACACAACCCTACCAGTAGTTAGGGCCTCCTGGGGGCCCTGCTCCGAGTAGGCACTTCAAGGAAGCTCAGATATGCCTGCAGATGGCCCACCATTTGATTGCGTTTCCAGGAAGCGAGGGCCAAGGCTTTACTTAAGGGGCTGTTCCGTGGATGGCTCTTGTGACAGCGGTTGGGAGGTGTCGACGATGGGCACTGTTGACGTTCCAAACCCGGGTGCGAGCTGATCACCAAACCTGGCGGTCGTTCCACTGCTGGATCTTGGGAATGCGGAATCTCGTGGCATGGCCTGTGTAGGCGATTGAAGCGTGTTTGGATAATATATTTGCTTTGACCTTTGTGGTGTTTTTGGGGATTGGAAGGGGAGATTTTCGAAGGACTTCAAAGGGCACAGGTATTAACTAGTAGCAACACGATATGTAACACAATATGCGCACTGCAGATCCTGCGTTGCACGGTTGGCCCATGGGCCTCGCTGCAAGACTGCTCACGTGTTCCTTGTGGGAAAAATTGAAGAGGTATCACTGTAGGTAAACTTGACGTTTGTCACAGCAATGTCGCTGCTCCTCCTGCTGCGAATGGCTGGACCTTCACGCTGTATGCCTGTGCAGCCCATCACTCTCGGAACGCTCTTGAGGACATAGGTGCGGCAGCGCCTGAAGCCCTCAGCTGCCGATAGCATGAAATACGCAACAGTGATGTGCAGACAACCTGCCCTTAACATCGTCTGCTCCATGCGCTGGGGAACGCGCAGGTAAACATGGAACATATGCTGCACGAAGCGCCACGTGCTGGCCACGCGGCATTCTTACTGCTGCTTGCCTCCCACACCCTATTCATAAATTCATACCAAGATTCTGAACGCCAAGGCAAATGGAAATCTGGGAGGCGCCCATGCAGCAACTACAGCTCTCCAGAGGCCGTGTGGTGACAATTCATAGATCCGGTGCCTTGTGTCCTAGAATACATTCTGGTCAGGTTTATTAGAACTTCCCCCCCGGGACGAAGATTTGGTACCGTCCGCCGATTCGTAGCACACTGCTCAGAGGTGGCCAGATAGCCTTGCGAACATTCATCCGCCATGTCCTGGTTTTGTAGGTGTTCCTCCTCGTGTCTCTTCAGCTCCAAAATGAAAGAATTTTTCGTTGGCCTGACGGCTAGGCACATGGATGACTCCCCTGCAAGCGCGCACTCGGCCAAGAGCTTCAACAAAGGGAAAGGGCACTGTCGGCAATGTGCTGGTAGGGCTTCGGACAGCGCGTCACGCACATCCACGTGATACAGTCCCGCGCATTGGCACAAACTGCAATGTGGGCATTTCGCAACTGTTTCAAGACAAGGTTCTATTTGAGATTGTGCAGATAGCAGAGTTTGAGCACGAATAGATAATTTTGGCCGAAATCTTCCTGCTGATGAAATTGCCATAAATTGTGTTGCATGTGAAAAGTCATTGTATCAACCTCGACGTTTCCACATTACTTTCCATTTCAGCTGTGCTTCAAAAAAATGCTTCAAGGAAAGAATCAAGCCCTGATATCCGCAGTGCGCAAGACGGCACAACAGCCCCATGACGCAGTTTAACTGGCCCTGCGTAATGTACAACATGGGCGAGCGATGGAAATCTCTTGGTGTATCTTCCCTGTATCCGCACAGTGGCCAGGCTCTCACTTTACATTCGCACTGGCGAGATGATGGTGCAAACAGTGAGCGCTGTGCAAATGAATTTCACAGAGAAACACAGACAGCCCCACGGCCACTGTCAGTGGTGATTGCCTATCTTTCAATTCCCCTAGGCCTCTTCTTGGATACAAGGCCATGACCGCAATGCACCGAAGTCGAATGCGAGTAGTATCTCCAGCAGCAAGGCGCCGTACCCGGATTGGAGACCACCGCAACTTCATTCTCCCGCAGCCAAAGCTCCTGCTGCGACGGGCTTCGACGCGACAGGCAGCGCCGCTCTATGTATTCGTTGCCCTCTTCCTCAGTCGCGTAAACCGACAGCGCGAACATCAGCCTGCGAAGTGTCTAACGCCATTTCACAATGGGCAGCACAGCGCAATGAGAACGAAGGCCGATCCAAGGCAGGAGCGGTCGGGGAAGTTGCCGCAAGACACCCTTGCGTGATCTTCAAATGGCCTGACATATTGCTACACTGTTGAGCATCGCGTGTCGGTGCTGGTGTAATCCGCAATAAAGTTGGACCGCACCGTGCCACATTGTCTGTGGTTTATGTGCCACTTTCCACCAGCGGTGTCTGGCCCATGTGTTCTGCATGTATTCCGAGCCTCCGGAGGCTCGGAATACATGAAGTTAACTATCCTGTTAATGGGTTTCTGCCAAGGGAGACGTTGGGTGGGCTGCACCGGCGATTCAAACGGTGCAGTTTGAACCTGGGGTTTACTCAACCCCGGCCCTTGGGATTTCTGGCCACCCCTAGTACCGTGGGTCAGTCAAAGTACGGTATCCCGAGGTGCCGCCCGCGAGGGCGCCCTCGAGTTTGGCGGGCTTTGGCGGGGCGGCGGAGGGCGGCTATTTAGGCAGCCCCTCGGTCCCCCTCCTTATCTTGTTTTGCACCCAGCCCTCCCGCCCTGGATAGTGGAGTTCGGGTTAGTTGTGGGATGGTGAGGGAGTTGAGGGAGTGAAGTACGGGAAAGGGAGCTAACTCATGGGAGTCACTCACTGAAGTGGCATTGAAGTACTAGCGAAGCGAATGGGCAAGTTTAATGGACGGGAACCTCGGGAATGTGACGATTGACGGTTGTTTGTAATTATTGTCATGGGGGTACATGACGGGGTGGGCTCAGGAGACCGGTAGGGCAGAAATGCAGAACACATGGGCCAGACACCGCTGGTGTAGAGTGGCACTCTGGGACCAGCGTGTATCCTTGGATTGCATGTGAAGGGGACCGCTTCGGACCAATGGGCGACCGTTGATTCACAGTCCATTGAGCGCCGCGCTGTAGCGCTGCTCAAGGCTCGCTCAGGGACCCGAGCGGTGGCTCATCCTGCCCTCACGCTGTGCAGAACGACAACAATTAACCAGCAAAATTGCTGCGTCCTACAGCCTTTTTAGCGATCACTGCCAAGGATAACAAGTATTTGCAGCAAACATTCGCCAGCCTTCAGAACTGGTTGCCAAGGGAGCATTGTGCTCGCTCACCTGACCAGGCACGTCACGACGCACGCCGTCGTGATCAACAGCAGAGCGCCTCCGAATCCAACGGCCGCGTATTGCATGTGCAGCACCCATGCGGGTTTGCTGTGCCTGGTGCCAGCGCCATCCCCTCCCTCCACAGCGTTGGCGTATTGGTCTGACGCGGGAAGAGGACTTGCCGCCGCCCCAAGCCCTGTTGAAAGGGGAAACCTGTATTGTGGGTCAGATAACAGCTTTTGGGAAAGTGGTAGCAAGCCCACTACTTTACATAACTTGGCTTCGCCACTTTGGCTGAAAGCTTGTCCAGCCGGGGCTTCTCTTACCATAACCACCCGAGGCAATCTGGATGCATGGACATTCGGGCCTGAAGTTTTCGTAGTGAGCAGCCTGTCAGCAAGTCTGACAGTACATGCCGATGGGCTACGAAATGTTTCGTTGTCGTAAGCATCAGACTTCCCGGCATGAATCCCAGAGGCTGTAAGAAAGATGATCAAATCCTGTTCAGGACCGACAAATGAGCAAGACCACACCGTGGACTAGCAGGTGGCACATAGCCGGCCGCTGGTTTTTGTATTCCTACTTTGGCAATTCACATGTGAGTGACTGTACCCGGAATGTGTTCCTCCATGTCTCATTTAACTTCGGGGGTGTGGGCATGTTGGGATTACCGAGCAGTGCAAAAGTCCAGCTCCATGCAGACAGCCTCGCAACGGTGGGCACAGCCAGGCAGCTCATTGGAGGGCCAGTCCACTGCTCATGAGCGCGAAGCGCGGAGATTTCGGCTGTCTGCAGTGGGCCTGCTTCCGTCATCTAATAACCGTCAAACGTACCTGAAATGGCAGCATCCCCTTCGGTCAGTCCTTTTTAAGTCCTACAAGGAACATCCGCCGCCTCATGAGAGGCCCTGAAAGCACTTGAAGGCTTAACTACTCCCAATAATCACAAAAGCAGCAGCGAATTTTGCAAAAGCAAGAGTGATCCCGCTCCACACAAAGCAAAACCGAAACAATGTCTAACATCAATTCTCTGTGCCTAGATGCCTTGTCAAGTTCGGCTCAATTTCAATCAGACCCGAAGACTGGGGGCACTGGGATAACCCACTTCCTTCATTTCTCATTCTTCCCATATGCAGCCGATTCAGACCCCAAGGGCGTAATCGAGATGGACCAGAACATGACAAGATAGCACTTTCCATATTTGATACGATACGAGACTATATGATATAATACTTCAAATGTATCATTTAATTCCTGTGTCCGTCTTGTACCTCTCTTAAGGATACGGCCGAGGTGGTTTTCCAAAACCTGCCTCCAAAATTGTCTCCGAGGGTGCCCATTTAAGCCAAAAGGTATCGAGTCCCCGCATGTGACTGACTTGTTGACCTTCACGACCCACAGTACATGGAGTACATGTACCCCAGAGGGCGGCTGGGATGGCGCATGGGCTTTGCCAAATATCCTACCGACCAACGTACCCACCCAGCTTCACTCTTGCAGCGAATCCATAATTTTGCTATGCTAAAACCGTGAATTGCATTTGGGCTCTGTGTTTGCGACCAATTCCAACCAGTTGGTGGGAAATTAGTATCCCCACGAACCACAGTGACATGGAAACTGAGTTTCCCTGTGGGTCGCATATGTCAAAGTATCCCCCATATTTATGAAATCTTCCCTTGATATGTGTTGTTTCTTCAGTTCACTTGAATCCTGAATCCAAAATTATCTGATATAGCATATGAATCAACATTCTCTCCTAACTGTGCCCCTGCAGATGCGCTGGGAGCTTTTCTCACTTGCATCGTTAATGCGCTTTCTACCCTACATCCTTGAGAAATTTGTTACAGAAGC